ACTATATTTTTTTTGTAGAGAAAATGAAATAAATTCATTTTCAAAATGATATGCAATGGTTATTTTATGAAAAAGAGGAATACGAACCCATTGCATATTTCTTAATTTTGGTTCTAATTAACCTAATAGTCTGACACATGTTGTTGGAACATGGAACACCAACGATAATGTATTGGGGAAAAAAATGCGCATGTTGTCTAACATGAGTTGAAGTGCGTCACTCGCTGCTGCGATAACGATAAGGTTAAGTTTGAAAACACGAAAATTGAATCAAAATAGAGAACGAAGTGGTTTCTATATTCAGTGTACGTGTGATAAACCGGATATTTCTGTATCAGCCACTTTTTTTTCGGTTATCGCTTTATTATGTGGGCTATATGCAATCACCGAATACACTTTACCTCTGAGAAGTGACATTTGTGTGTGTGTGTGTCACTTGATCTTTTCCACGTGCATCCGTTTGTGTATGATAGCAGACCATAAACCTTTTATAGCTCCAATGCATCTGAATTCGGAATACATTTATTTTATCAAAATTAAATGTTTTTTTTTTTCATTCTTCACTCGTGAATTAAGGCCACATCCGGCGATAAAGGTGTGTACAGCGCGTCTGTGTCTATGTCTTTATTGATGTCATTTCGAAAGAAAAATGATTCATATTCGATTACAAAATTTAATGATTTTTTTCTTTCATTTCGAATATTTTGGATGGATCAAACATTTTTATGACAAAAATATATCTTGGTAGAAAATAATTTTTTTTATTAGTCTAGAAGTGGTCATAATTTGAATGCGACACTTCTGTCCATTTCTTGTCGTATTCAATTTCACCATAAATAAGCGATCGGAACAACGCACATGTCACAGCTTCGTTGCCATTGTTTTGTATGCATTTTCTACATATCGAATCAATACACGACATTTCCGATGGATCAAATTGAAATAAAAAGAAGAGAACGACCGAAAAAAACGAGTTGAAACCCGTATGAATTATGTATGTGAAAGCCGCATTTGCATTTGTTTTGTCAACCGAATCAGCCGAATTGAATGGCGTTCGTGACCTCGACAACTATATTTATCATAAAGTTGTTGTGTAAAATGTTTTGCATCGCCTTTTTTCTCTCTCGCTCTCTCTCTCTCTCTCTCTCTCTCTCTCTCTCTCTCTCTCTCTCTCACTCACTCGCTCGCATTATTATCGAGTTTGAAAATGCCGTTGACAAAGGAATCTCCCGAGACAAACCCGCTATTGAAACGCTATCCAGCGTCAGCGCCATCGACGTCACTGCTGCCGTGCTGTGTTTTTCTTTTGTTTTCGGCTGTTGCCCAAACAAAACTCTTTTATATTCATATCGGCTATTATCCTCGGTTGTTGGTCTATCGGCCATTTGTTATGAGGTGGAGTTGTATTATCAAAACTCTCATTGAATCCTTCAACGGAATAAAAAGAAAACAAAAACCAGATGTTGATCGGCTACCGAAACTGTCCTGGTCATTTTTATAAGTGATCGAAAATTGATTGCGTGACGCGTTAATTTTTTATCGACAGTCATTTGTTGTGCGTGTATTTTTCTCAGGAAAAAAAAAACAGATCGAACTGGAAATGCATCGAATTTCAGTTGAATTATTATTTTTGAAAAAAAAAAATTATGTTATTTTCAGTTGGTTTGTTTTTTCATTCAAAACGACTGGGAGAAATAAAAGTGAAAAATCGCCGACGCGTTATTTGATTACAATCAGTAAAACGCCGCATTTTTAATATGGCATTCGGAAGCTGTGTGAAACTTAATATCCAACATACAAAGAAAACAAATGAAACCAAAAATTAATAACAAAAATGACGTCTAATAATTTCAAAGTCAATTGCGACGTGTGAATGTGGATGAAAATCAGACGCTGAACACTCGGTTGCAAGCTATATGAAAGTCAGCGGGATACCATGACTAGTGCGCACTCAATGACTGCGTTTTTGTTTCGACCATCGAACACAACAACTCCCAATGGCGTACAGAATCGATTGAGAACACGACACAAGTCTACATTATCAAAACATAAAATCAATCAAAACAATTCATTACTTGAACAATCTCCCCCATAGCTAGGCAAGCGTAAGCTGCTTGGATCGTGCTTTCAATTGAGACTCAGTCAATGATACTGTGCTGATGCTGCGGATGATGCTGCTGGTGTTACTTCGGCGATTCAAGTTACAGTCGTACAATGGCTCGACGACAAATGAACGTTCATTTAAAGAACTGCACATCATTTATTCACACTATCATTCGATCGCTTGCTTTTTCGACGAATCTCATGTAGCCCAAGCTAGAGCTGAAGGTAGCTTATTTTAACCAGATCGAGATTATGTATTAAATTCTTTTTTTCCCTCTCGTTTATTTCAATTTGTAATTTTCCTCCGATAATAATTAGTCTCTCAAAATGTTTTCGACGAATAAGAGAACATTCAATTCAATTATCACGAACAAAATGTTGAAAATATATGTTAAATGAGTGTAATTATTGCAAATAAATAATGCTCAACGAAATAGCATATTCCCGAAAAAAAATAAAGCCAAAAATGCATGAATCGAAGACAAATAAACTAAATTTTATACATTATTCAACTAAAAAGAGCCAAATGTTGCCCGAACGCAATGCATGCACAGGTTGATGTATTAAAGGATGTATGCAATTAAAATCGTCAATTCAAACTGTTTGTACTTGCAATTGCTCAGTCTGTTTTTCAAATGACCTCTGGCAAAATGCACATTTTTCAATCCTAAATATCAATTTCCGAAAAAAAAACTGTTTCGTTTCCAATTAAGCAATAATAATTTCGATGCAATTAAGTGTGCATTTCGTTGTGAATAGTCGGATTTTTTTTTTAACATGCAAACTGTTTATCCTTTTCAATAATAAAGGTTAAATCAAGAATGCCATTGGGTGAGATGTATTTGAAAAGAGTGCAAAGTGCGTCTTGCAAATGCATTGAAACTGAAGCAGTATACAGGAATATGAAAATTTTAATTATATCCTGGCATTTTACGTACGTATCGTATTCATTCCGTGTTCTTTTTTAATTGCGACTCATTAACGCATTGAATTCAGGTTGTTTGCCACTTCTTGCCAGCGATATAAAAATAATATTAGACAATTTGATGAGACATTTCGATGAAAAAACATAAAATCTGACTTCATTTCTCCATTTCGTTTTTGTAACCAATCCAAAATTATATGAAGACACATGTTGATGCCATTAATTTTCCGCCGTTGATAATTACAGCGTTTCCAATTTGCCATGGTTTACACAACAAGTTTGATAACAGGCAGATTTTGTTTCAATGCGATTGTGTGCTGAATTTGTCATATATATCAATTAAAAATAACTCGACGAAGCAAATATAATAATTAAATGAGAGTGTTTTCGTTCAGATTTAATTGTAATTCGAAGACAAAGCATAAAATGTAGTGAATTGCTGCGTGAAAATTGGTTGTAGCAATTTGCACAGCGAAAACACGTGCAACAACCGGATTGAGAGAAGGACTGGTTTCAATTTTGTAGTCATAATCATAGAAAATGAAGGCATAATTAATTTTTCACAAAAAAAAAATCCTTCAAGAATGTTGCTTGATGAGACCACGATGAAGTGAGCTTAAAATGATTTTTTTTTTCTCGCCGATGTTAAGTGGTTTGTAAGTGATTCCATTCGACACGTTAGGCACACGCAACGGATGCTTACATTGTAGGCTGCGATCACGCATCATCGTCGTCGTCGACAAACAGTAACCGAACTGTCGATATGTTTCGTTTTTGCGTGCGTGATTTTGCACTTCGCTACTGTTCTTGGTCACAGCTCGAATGTAATTTGCACTTGAAACCAGTCTTCTAAGCCGGCATTATAAACGAGGCACCGAAAACTTGTAGCCATTGGGAGTGAAATGCATGCAAGAATCCACCATGAGGCTTAAAATTGCGTTGACAATTATCGGCGCAACTGCAGTTTGGCATTGCGTGAAGGTGATTGCGTGCAAAGTGAAACTTATTAAAAGGTGCTAATTGAGTGGCGATAATTTATAACAAAAAGAAACCGACGAAAGGTCAAATTATAATTTGAAAATTAACGTAATCGCTTTCACATCCGACAAAAAGCAGCAAGCAACATCGATGCAAAATGAGCGGAATACGTTTTGGCCTTAAAATTTGAGGTTGGCGGCAAAATGTCAACCAGCCAATTAAACGCCGAATTTTTCTCAGCGCAACGCAAGACGATAACAGGGCATTTGTCAACGCATTCGATGCTCTCTTGTCTTGTTAACAACAAAATGACCTGTTGATATCACTTTCGGCACCTTCTTTCGGCCGCTACATGTAATGTGCCTTTGGTAGCATCCAGTCATCAAACGGTACCACTGACTCGGTATTTAGGTGACATGAGCCATTTTACTTGAAATGATTTCAAAAGACATTTTCGAAATGCGTACGAAAAACGCCGTTTGAAATCGCCCCGTTCTATATTCAATGGACAAAAGAGATTCAAAATTAATTTCTTTTTAAAGAATAGCTTCTTTATCTATATGTGACCATTGGACACTGTCCAATAATCCAATAAATCCGGTGCTTATCAATAACATGGATCATCTTTTTCCATTTGACGACACCCAGTCCAAGTGTGTGATACGCGTCGCATGGTCAAGTTTCGAATCGACTTAACTTTGCATATCAAATGTTGTATTCCCTCGTGGCAACTTCATTTCCTCAATTTATGTACATACGTTCCAGAAAAAACCATTGACTTAGGCCTATTAGCAACTCTATTGGTTTGATATTGTGTCGTCAACGAAAGAAGTGATTGAAATTACTGTCAAAACTCCACCAAAACCAAAATGTTGACACCTTAAATGATGAATGCGTGTAAATAAGCACATTGATTCTCGCAGCCAGCAGCTTTCAACAGTTGTAACCGAAGGAACACAAAGCAATAAAGTAAAATAATTCGCATAAACTTATATCGGTTCAGAGACAACAATTTTTGGATTTATTTTATTTATTCTAGATTTACAAGCAACCTTTGAAAAATACATGAAAATTCGCAGGTTTCAAACATTTTCAGAAATGTTTCAACAAAAATACTAAATTTCTTCTTAGTTAAATCGAATTTGTACATTTTTTAGTGATTTATTAAATTTTCATTTGAGTTTTCATGAGTTTTCATCATAATAAGATGTTATCCATTCGATTCTTAGCATAAATATAGGCACAGCATTTGTTCGCGAAATGAAAGTTTCTTATTTCTAACAGAAAAAACGCATCAACTTTGGATGTGATACATTTAAAGAGTATTTCTTCGAAAACTCTGAAGACATACGATGACAACATTTTTCGACTAGCCAACACCAAAATGTACGAAGTGAATTTTTAATTCTGTTATGTTATCATCGCTAAATTGAACTAATGGCATTTTTTTTCTCCTTCAAAGTGGGGCTATTTTGCTGGCTGAATCCGCTATTCGCTTTGGAAAACGTGTGAAATATTGATACGTTTTATTCAAACTGTGTGAAATATTGATACGTTTAGTCAGTTTGAGTGAGAGGAAAAAAAATCAGAATTCACACTTAAGACATTTTTCAAAGTAGACCCGTGACAGAGAGCGAAAGAAATTTACATTGGGATTTATTCGAAAAAAATGCTAAACAAATTATCTAAAGCATGAAACTAGAGTGGCAAAATAGCAATAAATACACATTAATTATCATATTTGTTTTCTGTTTCGATCAACGACATCTTGAAATATATACATAATTGTGTGCACATGTCGCGATTTTTTCTCGAAAAAAACGAAATTAATCAATTTTTCTTTAACAAACTGGAATTGATTTTGTGGCTCCATTCAAATGGCCAGTATTGAGATGTCGCTAAAAGACACAAATTGTGCGCGAAAAAACAACATCGACTCGAATGAGACGCGACAAAAAACCGTTCTAATCCAATGAAGATATTTCTAATCCGCGGTATTTACATATTAAATTCGATGTTTTTTCTCTCTCTTGAGTGGTGATTAAACGATGCTCACATCTTTTGGCTACTTCACTTCGTTAGAAACAATGCTATCGAATGACAATACCCCCATCCGTAGTCATTTCAGCCCAATTTCATCTTTTAAGTTACCTATTCTTATTGATACATCACAATCTAATTTCTTTCGAAATTGGTGATGTTACTCAGTCTCTTAATAATAAATTAAACCGTATTTTCAGCATTCTTTTTGTTTAAGAGTGAAAAAAAAAGAAATCGCTTGCGAAAACACTTGTGGTTTAAATGAACAAAATCAGTTTGTGATATAGATTTGAACGCGGTTATTGTACTGTGAGCATGTCGTCTCGCACGTAGAACAAAACGTATGGCGTTCTGAGATCGGCTTCACGTTCCATTTTTACCTGAAGATCTCTCTCTAGAATGGGTGTAATTCGGTCGTCATCACAGATGTACCATTGATTGTCACCTGGTTGATCGCTTCCATTGGGTTGGGCTGGTTTCATGTTGATATGGCAGCACGATGGACCTGCGCACCAGAATTGTGGTTGTGGATTCTTCTCAGATGATCGTACGTATGCAATATAATGACCGGATTTTGGTGTTGCGCCCAAATGAATGATTACACTCATCAATGTATACCGATGAACACTGGTGCCATCTTTTCCGATACTCTCCATGCAGTCCAGACAGAAGCAATCCATATTGAACGGTGTCGGTGTGGCTATGTGAACTTTATTCATCTTATTGTCAAATCGACCCAAATGCACGATCAAAATGCGTGGCAACTTTCGATATGAGGTCGTCTGTCTCATGTGGGATGCTCCTCTGCATGTATCGCACTTGGCTCCATCAGATGTGCTGAAACTTTGTTGTTCCAAACACGAATTCTGTCAAATCAAATGAATGAATTTCAATTGGGTTCTCAAAGGATGCGCAACACAGTTTAGCTTTTCGATATGAAAATGTCATTTGGAACGAAAATCGAATGAATGAAATTACCTTGATGAAATTCTCATCCAGTTGCATTTGCGATGTCAATGGTACCGTTAAATCAATGATGTCTTCATGGTTGGTTCTCCTCGATTCGCATACAAAGCATTTCAACGTTGTCACTCGTGTGCCCATGAAGTGTTCGTGAACATAATTGAAATTCAACAATGACGCCACATCACCGCCAACTCTAGTCGGTTGAACAGAAATCGAATTATTCATTTGTTTCAAAAAGATCGTTCTCCGTGGATCTGTATCGCTCAAAATATGTCATTTTTTTACCTTGCGAAAAGGGCCGGATATTCTCTCACCAAACCCATGTACTCTTCGCCGCAGTCTCGCATGCTATCCAGCAAGCACATCAGTAGTTCATGTGAATCTTGCTGAGTTCCCGGAACAAATGTCGAATTAACGTTGTACGCATACTTTTGGAATTGAGTAGGTCTAAGCGATGTTGAATCATTTTCTTTTTCATGCTCTGTCAATTTTAAGAACACCGCATGGAGCTGTTGGATTATCCGTCGCTTTTCGTCCATCGATTCGACCTGGAATTCTGGCCATTGGTCCTGATTCGACACGAATTCGGCTGTGGCACGCATTCTAGCGCAAGAATTCTCTGGAACCCTGTCTTCTGCCTCGGTTTCATCGAATAGCAGCAGCATATTTTCACAAAAATGGTGCAAATTGTGCGGAAATGCCGTAATGAATCGTAACGAATACAAAACAGCGTTCATGTAACAAGTATTGCCAATATTTCTCAGTACGCCCATCAAAACTGGCTTTTCTGGGAGGGTTTTGCCGCCAAACTGGCGATGAGACGATATTGGTGTCGATGATGCAACAACACTTTCAAATGGCTGTACCGAATCCATCGCATTGTTGTTCGTTAATTTGTAATCGATTGTCTCGAAATCATCATCGTGGGCTCTGATTGGTGACGGTGACCTCATGCGATCTGGTTTGATGTCATGCTGCGGACTTTTTTGTGCCTTTTTGCGTCGATTCGGCATCCAATGTGCCGGTTTCCCCGTTTCTTTTTCATATTTGTCCGCTGCAATCTGTGCTTCATACAGTTGCATTATGAGCATTTCGGTTCCATTGAGTTCATTTCGTGTGCGGGTAACTCGAATTTTCTCCAAGATCGGTTTAGCTCTCTTCATTATATCCCGTCTTGACTTTGGCAAACATAATTTTTTGCGCGGGCCCGAGTCAAGATCAGCTATTTGGATGGAAAAATGGATGATGAAATTGAAAATCTTTCGTAGTTTCATGATTTTCATCACAATTTTGTGCACACAATAACATGCTATACGATGTAAATGTGCTTGCATCACAAATTGCGATTCGCAAACACGGAACCAATGAATCGATTCCAAGAATCGCTCGAACACAGCAATTGAATGTATGAAAGTTCTAGCCTCAAATATGATTTTTGCCCAAATGTACTTACGATATTTCAACTTTCTTGGTGGTGCCATTGCGACCCAATTCTAATTTTATGCAGCAAAACCAACACTCAAATCACTCCAAATATCGGTAAATTGCGTGTTGGCTGTTGATGTTCCCCCTGTTTTTCGTTCACCGCATACAACTCGAAATCTAATTCACGATTTTCACTTTTTACAAGCAAAATTTCTGGTTTCTCCCAAGAAAATTCACTTTAAATCGAACCGAACTCTCTTGATTTCAGTTCGATTTGACCTTAATTCAGTTTAGTTGAATGAAATTGTGCGAAATTAATGACGATGCGTCATTTTTGATTGAATGTTGTGACTGACATTCGATTACGGCTTGTGTTCATTCGAACAAGTGGTTTGATTTTGTGTTTGACACTTCAAATGCAGCACATTCTATGCTTCGCTTTTGTTTTAGCATTAACTGTTAAGTTTCGTCGGTGATTTGCAACACACAACAACAACAAGCATTGTTTCAAATGCAGAATTCATCGTCAGCACCTTGCGGCAATGCGACGAATTAATGATATTCCATTGAAGCTTTACCAATCGGATTCTTCGAAGCGAAACTCAATCAATTGATATTTGTACACAGAAACCTTTGATTCATAAATTTGAACCACATTTTCCAGTTTAGCAATTTTTTGTTGCTAATATTTCAATTTTTCGAACTAAAAAAATATTTTATTTCAATGTTTTGATTTCTTACACACACATTTCTCCAATTGGACTGTGTTGCACAAAGGCAAAGGTTGTGGGGTTTTTGCTCTGCATACGTTGAAGTGTTTGAAAGCTGTATTGGCGCTGGTTCGGTGAGAGGATTCTGAAACACGCCTGTCATTGCTACTCTCTAACCGGAGAATAAACGTCAAGCAATTGTTTACAATATATTTCTCATCCAATGAACTAACCTTCAATCAGAAAGTTATTGTTCGTATCAGAAGTAAGATAACAAATTCAAAACAGAAGAAGAAGAATTATTTTGCTGCACAAGAATGACCCATAAAAGCCAATTCAACAAAAGGTTCGACAATGAATTGAATAGACTGAACACAGTCGGAAATGTGTTTGGCTCGTACATTTTGGTGGTATTAGAAGGCGATGCATCAAATTACACGTGAAGGAATTTCAACAGTCATCCGTTCATCCAATTTTCACTTCGAATCACTTCATTTAATGTTGAATTTTCAATCGAATTCGCAATTTATCAACCGGAGGATGTGTCGAAAAGCGTAAAAAAATGGAACGAATATCAAAATTGATGTCAAACTTAGTTTTAGGATTTTCAGTTTTATTGCTGCATCATAGGCCGGTTTCTGTAGGAGAGAGTCTCAAGTAAGTACAAAACCGATTAAGGAAGGTCAACAGCAACAACAACAACAATGAGCAACTGTTATGTTCTTTGTGGTTGATTCAAATGTAATGACTTGTGGGAGAAACCACTGATTTAAGTCACCAACCAAAAAAAATCATGTTCGTCTAATAAGCCATCATAAATCTGGCCGCTCTGAAATATGTTTGCGCGTTTCCAATGTAAACAATGACAATCCACCGAGAAGATTAGAAAACTTGTGTACGACGGTGTTCGAAATGTTTGTAGCTTTTGAATGGGCAATAAATATACAACTCAATCAATGTAAATTTTGTAGTCGGAATGACTCTCGTCAAATTGCAGCAGCTGAGTAGTAAGAGACACACTCTGAGAGAACGAATTAGAAGAAGGAAACGAGCAAAATAAAACATAAAAACACACTCATGTGTAGCCGAGTCGCGGCACTCCCCCGACTTGAACGATATGAGTGAGTGAGAAAGAGCAAGACATTGACTGCGCAATGAAGTGCAGAGCACACATTCGATGCACATCGTACCGAAAACGATGCAGATAATCGATTGAATGCAATGGGTATAGCAGCACATGGTCGCAAAAGTCATTCATAGTTTGTATTAAAGAGGCTCATTCTGCTTTGGTGTTTTGAATTTGTTCAAAGGAAAGATGCAGAAAAATGCATAATGATCTAATCAGACGTTCGTTGTACAGTTTGCCTTTTTTCCGAAATTTCTCGGAATTTTTTTTTGCCATCGCATCTTGCGAGCTGGAGCGTTGAATGATGAACAGATGTCATAAACCATGCGAATGGGATGCTTATGATCCCGGTTCAACTAACTGTTATTCCGATCTGCGGCGCAGAGAGAGAGAGAGAGCAAGCATTTCCTACATCGACGCACCCTAAATTGTTTCTCCTCTTATTCCGCTCATCATATGTTCATTGTTTTAACGTTTCAAACGGTTATGCGCATGCACACGGCTGCTTTTTCTCGATCTCTTCAGAAAATTGTGTAGTCGTCTTCGTGAAATGCCGCGCGCGTCGCTTTCAGTCCGGAAGAGAGTGTTGTTGTGAGTGTACACGCATTTTGACTTGTTGCGAAGAGTGTGTGAATTCGAATTGGATATTCGTTGGAAGTGATCGATTAATTCGGTTAATAAAAATCGAATTAATTTTGACCATTTTGTATTGATTTGATGAATGAAATTGTAATAAAAGCCAATTGTGTGTGTGTGTGTCTATGTGCGTACGCAGAATGATAAAATTGTTCGTCGAATTTTGGGATTGGGCGACATGATCATGAGTTCAAGTGAAATATAGTTTGAAACGACGATTAAGACGGTTCAGTCAGCCAAGTGACATGAATATATGACACACGGATGTAGTAAAAGGAACAAAATAACGATCAACTTAGTGGTGCTTGTGCCAAAAATGATGACGAATCGAAAAAAAGGAGCAAAATACACACATTTTATGGGAATCGCAACGATGCAAAACCATTTTGAATGAGTGTAAGAGACGAGTGAATACACTGAGCTCGCGACTCGGCGGCGAATGAATGAGATATCTCATGCAAAAGATTGTTGTGCATCATACGCATAAAGAACAAATTGACTCTGTGTGTCGGGTGTTTTTTTTTTGTGAGCTCCTCAAGCCGTTAAGTGGAATATATATAAGTTGTTTGCACATCGAACAAAACCGACATTCATTAAGTTGCATGCAAGTGATCGTTTTGCGTTGGTTTTTTGCTTGTTTTCATTAGAAAAACATTCGAGTCGCGAAATTAAGGTGCGTTTGTGTATTTGTAGCTTCTTTTTTTTGTCTGTTGTATTCTTTTTTCGGCGTCAAAAATATTCGATACAGCGAAAAAACAATCTGAAATGCATAAAGTCCAAACGACGAACCAAAATCAATGAATAAATTTCAATAAGCCGAATCAATCTCGTATCGAATTGAGCCGAAATCGGGTAGTACTGCTGTTCATCAGAAAAATCGTGTCTTTGCCGCACTCTCGCAAAGACAAATTGAGTCGCTTTGTCGTAAAAGTTTTATTTATAAAACCCACCAACAACAAAACAACGAATCCCATTTCGACTGTGAATCTATTCCGTAAAATTGAATGAACGAAGAGAGAAAGAAAAAAGTCCCCTTCTATCAGGCGTATATTCTCGATTTAGAATTTTCTCATTCGCGCTCTCTCGATCCTGTTTGTGTATGTACTTAAGACACTGTGAATAACAAAAAAAAACGACGGGAAAAGAAATAAACACACGAAATAAGAGAAAGTGATCATCGAAGGCGACGCTTGAATAAATAACATACGGAAAATTCAAGTGAAAACAAACGGCATCGTTACACAAAACTGTCGCTGCTCTTCGAGTCGAGCCGAGCCAAGCAAAACATCACCGAGTCACACAGCAAATGACACGTTGTATAGATATACATATTCCTTATGGCAACGAGCTGCTTGGCGTCTCGATGATGCGCTGATGATTTATGACAGATGAAAAGTGTTTGATGTGTGTGTTATGTCTATGCGTTGTGATCCAGAGACACTTTCGATTTTATGTGCCACGATATACACAGGGTTACTCTTATGCCATTTCTCTTCGATAGGAAATAGCCTCACATTTATAGGCTGTGAAACGATTTTTGCCTCATCGCATCACATCCACTCGGTGGAAAATGAAACTCTTTCTGAAAAATTGGAACACAAAAAAGAACACTAAATCTAAATCAATTACATATTCAACGTTTTGCATTTCGAAAGATGCCAATAAATTGGAAATCATTCTCTACCATTTCGAAACCCGTAATGACGATGAGTCACACATGTCTATGTTCTTTTTTTTCGAAAAATTTATTCTTGTACAACAACATAAAGCATAAAGTCGTCACGTTTTATAATTTTTCGGCTGAAAAATATGTGTCACCGTAATTGAATTGAATTTACGCCGTGAGGCACGCTAGACCGCGTTGCCATAACGGAAATTGTATCATTTGCATAAATTTATCATCGATTTCAATACCTTAACCAGAAATTAATGAACTGTTGAAAATAGTTACTTCGTATATACACATATACTCATTTTTCTATGGAGTTTCTTCCTCTCCACTTACAGTCACGATAAGTGGCGTTTGAATTTGATGCAACTCTTTGTTTTCGTTTGGAGAATTTGTTTGAGGTTTTGATCAGAAGAGTTTTTCCTTTCAAGTGGCGAAATAAGCGTTGAGTTTTGTAATTATAGGTTATTTTCCAAGTAAACAACCGCGGGAAAAAAGCCAAACGTCAATTAAATTCAATTAATTTTCGGATGGATTTCGATCTCTGTGACCACGACCAGCCTTCAATTCAACATAACCGATAAGAATTTAATTGAATTTCAATGCTCATAATTAAACTCATAAATTGAATGCGGCTTATCATCGTGAATCAATTACGCTCTCGTTTAATTAATTACAATTAAGAGCTGATGTGCACTTATCACTTCATTACCAACAACTTTAGCGGTCATTTTCATACAGTCATCGAGGAATTAACTTTGTCCATTTCTCGGAAGAATCACCATTACGATACGCATTCACGTCGAAGAGTGTTAGTGATGCAGGGCCAGCACTTGCTTCAATCTATCTATTCTAAAAATAATTTTGCATACACAACCGCATCTATGAGGCAAAGATGCTGTGTCATTTTTGTCATTTAACCGTCTGGTACTTAGTTGGTGCGGTTTAAATGCGTCGTAACTCCAAATAGATTTATGGTCGTAATTTTGAATTGCATATCGCCGTTAAAACCATAAAATTAATAATAACTGCATGCATATGCATCGCAACACTAAACGGTATCCGTAGAAAATCGATTTTCGTTTGTGCGGCACAGCCTCTTTTGATCCTACTGTCTTGCATCTAATTGAAGCGAATGTTGTTGTTGTTGTGCGTTGCAGTGTTGTGTTTTGAACGCAGACAGGCTGTGATGCAACCGAGCGAGTGAGTAAGAGAAATAGAAATAAAGATATAGAGAAAGAGAGAGATGCAGAGGAAAAAATGACGGGATCATAAAGTTGGAGACAGTACACGGTTGTATGTATAAAAATAAAGATCGCATCGAAAGAGGCTCTCTCTCACACACAAACAAACACAATCCCCGCGCAAACGATGTAAATTAAAACCAATGCTCAGCCGTTTATTTGGTGTGAAATTGTTGGCCGTTTTCACTTGGCTTGTTCCGTCTAAACAAAATGACATGAAAATGTTCCCTTTGAGACACGTATGCATCTTCTCGGAAAATGTCTTCTTCATTAGGCATTAGAGCGACGTGGAACGCGGTCGGGAAATCAAGCACTTTCCAAACTAAATATTCGGTGTTTAAAAATAGCCCCAACACTGTCGTTAGAATGCAAATCGACATAAAAGTAAGATGCGTAAATGAAAGCGAGGATAAATTGAAACTGACAACCCAGCGAATGCTGTCGAAGCACACCTATTTTTCTTCATTAGATGAAGTCGTCGCTTGACCATTTTTTAAGTCTTAGTTACCAGAGCTAATGGCAATTCCAGTGTTTCACAATTCCAAATTTTTCGTTTATGCTTCTTTAATCTTGGCTTTTTATTCTATTTTGGTGATTATAATTTCCTTTCTAAATTCAAACCATAGATAGCTTCCGTTATTCTATCGATAAATTCAGCAACAAGACTGACCTCAAATGCTATTTTTTACGCGTTTTCCTTCAATCTAATCGGAACACATGTTTTGTACGTATCACGATCTAATTAAATTCGAATTGTTTTGGTTTTTATTTGACTATGCGATTTCGAAATAAGAACCGCAGACGCATTTAATCGAAGGTCGCAAATTCCGTTCGAAATTCTTTGAGTGAACAGTGAAACGGCAGCATAGTGTCATCGGAGGAAGATAGCACAATCGCTGTGTGTGTATGTTTCGATTGAGTCATTTAAATACTTGATTTTCATTCGCCGTTTTTAATGGCTTTTTACTTAAATCGATCCTCAGACCGATGCGGACGGACTGAACAACGGCAATTAAGCAATGCATAAAATGCAAATTGAGTCAAAACATTCGGTTGCAAGATACCCATTGTTGTTAACTCGTTAAGTTGTTGTAAAACCCGAACGAGATAGGAAATTAAAATACTCTCGATATTGAATTACAGCCAACCAAGTATCAAGACCCCGAATGTGGCGTTCACTTTTGTCAGAGCACATTTGAACACATGTTGTGCGCTCTTTTTTTTCTTCGCTCATTCGAAAAACACACAACGAACACGACACGCATGTCTATGTTTGTACTCTGATCAGAATTTAATTAATGGATCGAAAAAAGCATTTTCGAAAGCAAAAAATCTAAATTGAATCTAATGATGTGAAATGTACATATAAGCCCACAATCGATTGTACAATTAAGTTAAAGCAGGGGATTTTTGCTACTGGTCAGAAAGCGGTACAGAAAAAAATCGGGCAATTTTTTGACTTTTACATGCAAATACTCCTAAGCACGCCGTGATGTATACTTAAAAAACTGAAACATATTTTCTTTTGAACATATTTGGAAATGTGAAGAATTTTCTTTTTGATTGAAGATTTTCAATTCATTTCGACAGGTTGAATGAAAAAACAATGGGAATTAATACAATAGAGTGATAAACAAGTGGTGCTATTGTGAATACAACGTTATAACGACAGAAAAATAACCACAATAATGGATTACTTTTTAACTATTCTGTGGATTTGCTCAATTACTTCGGTTGGATCAGCAAAAGGTAAGAATGAGACAAATATTGATTTCACTTTTGTTAGCTCATTTATACAAGAAGTTTCGTATTTCCTAATTGACTCTTTTTTTTCAATTCCCACCGTGTAGTTTCATTCTTTGGCGACAGTCATGTGGCAATGCCACTGCAAGAAGCAAAAATATCAACAAATTTACGGCTCCGTTTTCGCACACGGCAAGACAATGGCGTTTTATTTTTAGCAGCCGGTCGCACAGATTACTGTTTACTAAGCGTCGATGATGGTCGAGTCAAGTTGAATCTGAAAATCAATGAACACTTCACCGAGGTAAATGTTAATTAAGTGGAACTCTCTTTAAAAACGTAAATCGAATGCACGGATTCTGCAAAAAAATAATTTATTGTTTCATTTCCATATAAAAAAATATGTAAATTGGTTTGCATTAATTTGCGCGAAAAAAAAAATTCAATTTTAGGTTTGGTCACCGTTAAAAGTGAATGATCTACAATGGCACGATATCTCTTTCCAACGATACGATACGAATGTAACGATCCAGATCGATGAGCCAATTATAAGGTATGCTATGCAGAGATACCATCGAAATGATTTAAAGCGAATTTTCGAAATTGTTTTTGACTGTTTTTTTGTTTTTTCATTGCTATAGAAAAGTGTTGCCGCCACAAACGGGCGAATTGAATGTGCATTTCGGCGTATTTTTCGGCGGTGTGGGTGACTTTAGCGAAGCCTATTTAAATTCTGTGGATAACTTTCGTGGATGCATGTCAGATGTACGTAAGATATACGTGGCATTTTTTTATACCCACTTTAAATTTATCACGTTTCTTCGAGCATTTTTTTGATGGTTGTGTTATTTTTAGCATGTGTGCAGTTTGTCATTGATATCTGCTTCGTTATTTTCTTGTTACAAATGTACACACATGTGTATAGAGTTCAATTTGTTATTTTTAGAGCATTGTACTCTAATTAATTACCGTTTTTTTAACCGTGACATTGCAGCGATTCAAATCATATAATTTAATATCATTTTACATTTTTACACAATTTTTTTTCTTCATCTGAATGAACGATTGGAATGTGCTTCATTTTATTTTAGGTATTTTATAACAACATAAATGTGTTCAAACGGGCCAAAGAGCGAACGTCGCATGTGTCGAGCGTGCATGTGCTGTGGACTTGTAGCTCGGAATTTGACGCTGATCACCATCAAGGGATTAGTTTCGTACGTGACGATTCATTTGTCATGTTGGCTAAACCGGCCGTTCAAACCGGCGAAAGGTATACTATACGGCACGGATTCGGATGATGGATTTTATTACACCAACTCAAAATGTCAAGTCAAACATTGTTTATGATCCATTTTTTCCCCGTTTTTTTTCTTGACAGTTGGAATTTAGAACTGAAAACAATCGAAAGCGTTGGCATGGTGTTGTACAATAGCGCCGCCGATTTTATTGCACTGGAAATTGTGAATTCAAGACTACGTTTCTTGGTGGGCAAAGGTTCGAATGCCGTTGAACTCGTGTCGGAGCGGAACGTTACCGATGGAAAATGGCACAATGTTTCGATTGCGTACAGCCCATTTACGGTTGAGGTAGAGATCGAATTTCGTTGGAATCATTTTTTGGACCTATTTTCTGTTTATCTCATATACAATCTATTAATTTGTCCTTATAGTTCTCTCAATGACAAATTTTTAATCGCTTTTTCTTAAATTCCAATTTCAGTTAATGGTTGATGAAACAGTTCACAGTGCAACGTTTGCGAGCAAAAGCAGCAATGTGTTGGAAATTGGTGAGGAATACTTCATCGGCGGTTTGAGTAGTTTTCCACAACGAAAAGCGACACAAAGAGGCCTTAAAGCGCAAAGTTTCAGTGGATGCATTCAAAATTTGATGGTTGACAAGCATGCAGTTGGATTCCCTCACATGAAAGTGACGCATGCCGTTGAAGTGGATTGCGTGTGGAGTTATCCTTGTTTGGAAAAAGATCCATGTATTTCAAGTGGCACATGTCAGCAGTACGATCATGATGAGTTCATTTGTTACTGTGAGCAGGCATATTGCATCAAAGCGGATTATAACGAACACTACAAAATATTCACTCGATCCGATATGCCACAGGAGATGGAACTATTGTCAGTGAATCCACTGCAGTTACTTGAAAGCGATAGCGTCTTCTTGTCCACATCAGCGATTGATGTTTTAATTGACTACACCAAGCTTGGTATTATGGAGGCTGGAATCGTATTTAATATTGTCTCTCAACCGAAACACGGGAAAATTATGATCACTTCTGATAGTGGTGGCAATAATACAGTATCCGGCAAAGTATTTTCCTTAATCGAATTGAGCACAGACAAAGTGAAGTACACGCACAACGGTGATGAGCAACCAAATGATCATATGACCATTGACTTGCAATTGATCTCATCGAATCGAGATGCGATTCCAGATATTCTTCATGGGAAACATCGTTTTGTATTACATGCAAATATCACCCCTGTTAACGATGCACCAGTGCTAGCACTGAATCCAAACAAAGTACTGAGATTGACTCAAGGCATACCAAAAGTCATAACAGCTGACTTGCTAACTGCCAATGATCCAGATAGTCCACCTGCCTCTTTACTTTTTTCAATTGTACCGCCAACGGAGTCAGACTCACCAGCTCATCACGGCGTTGTTGAAGTATCGGGAAAGAGATCGAACACTTTCACACAAGAAGATGTCAACCAAGGTGCTGTCACGTATTTGGTGAATAGCCAAACAGCGAACGATAAATCGTTTGACTTAACCATTCAAGTGTCCGATGGTATGGAGACGAGTGAAAAAGCCTATCTGCCGATTTCAGTACTTCCACTGCAATTGCGCATGATTAACAACACTGGATTGGTATTGATTCACAAATCAGTCGCCCTAATTACGCCCTGCAATCTTTCATTTGTATCGAATTCAGAGGACGATAACATTGATGTGAAGTGAGTTTTTCTTTGCCTACGATTTGTTCAAGAGAATTTCATTTGTTTCTTGATTGGTTTCAGTTTTTTCTTTCATTTACTTTTGTTTGGCCTTAAATAATGATTTTTTGTTAAAAACTTTTGATGTTTTCTGGTGATTTTTATTTCAAATCTTCAAAATCTTACAAAAATTCAACAAAGCTAATTTTATACCTATCATTTCAGATACACAATAGTGAAACAACCACAATTTGGTAATATTCAACGTCTTCGTGTGGTTGATTCGTCTTGGATAAATGTCGATTCTTTTACAAGCAATCAAATTCACTTGGGTCAAGTTCGATATATCCACAACACCGATTTTCCGGTTCATGATGATTTCAAAGTAAGCATATGATGAACACTCAATGTTTTCCTGAATTGTTATCCTAGTTGTTTTCTATATGGATAGTTTTCTTAACTGATTCTAACTGATTTTCTCGCTCCGTTTTCAGTTCACGGTGTCTTTCGGGCCGATAAAAAGTAACAAGTATGATTTCCGTTTGACATTCACCAAGTTGAAAATAGGCATTCAAATTCAGAACTCTTTGCAAATCAATGGAACTAAAGAGAAAACGGTTACCAATTCCAATTTGTTCCATCAAACCACGCCGCTGCAAACATTTCCGCGAAATATAATTTACACTGTGATCACGCCACCACGATATGGTTTGATCTATGTGAATGGTTATCCTGAGTATGCAAAGGAAATGGATTCATTCACTCAGCAAGATATCGACAAAAATTTGATACGCTATCGCACGTATCAAACGTGTTACTCGAGTTTCATTGATGTGTTTGAGTTTGTGATTTCGGTGCCTGAGTGTGACGATGTCTTTGGCAGTATAAAAATCGTGTATAATCCACCTGAAGAACTATCAAAAATGTTATCATATCAAACACGCGAATTAATCCATGTTAAAGAAGGTGATCGTGCTCAATTGAATCGTAAACAATTCGAAGTCCTATTCAATAAGTTCAATTTTCTGATGTTAAAGCTATCGGTTCCCCCGCGAAACGGTGTTTTGTGTAATGTGAATAGTGAAACGATGAAAGTGTCCCAAATCGATTCATTTTCATTGGAAAAACTTTACTTGGGTGACATTTATTATTGCCATGATGATTCGGAAACAACAACGGACTCGATGTACTTTTTGGTGATGTCAGATTTGAACAAAGACTTTCAATACGTGTGCGAAGTGCTCGTGGATATCACATTAGTTAATGATAACGCTCCATATCGATTGGACGACAAAGTGTTCCATGTGGTTCGGAATAAAAATAAAATCGTGAGTCCAGCCGATCTACGATTCGTCGATCCCGATATCAATACAAACGCAACTGAAATTGTTTACTCAAAAATAAACTCGTCGAGTATTGAATTTTGCAACGCTGGCTCGGGCAGAACTTTGAGCGAGTTTACGCAGGATGACATCGATCAAGGTAGAATTTTGCTGAAACACACGGACAACACAGAAGTTAATCAAGTTTCATTCGTTGTCACCGATGGACAATTTCAAGTGCCAAGCAAATTTGATGTCATTGCTGGGGAACCGTTTATTAATATCACAGAGAAAAATGCGACAGTCGTGCAGGAAAGCAAGTACATTCTGATCAAAATGAGCGACTTGGCCATTGAAACCAATTTGAATATCATCCCGGATGAAGTTGAATACACTGTTCTTGAAGGACCCAGTTATGGTGTATTGAAGATATTGCGGCGCAAATTCAATGGCACAATTTTAGCTCGGGCGAACAATAATACGATTTCGGTGAAGAACTTCACACAAACCGATGTGATTCGAGAACGTCTGGTCTATTGGAATACGGAAGTTGCTTCGATGGATAAAATTAAGTGAGTTTGAAAATTTAATTCATCTTTTTGAAGCTCATCGTAACATGAACTAGCATGATCATCTGGCAAATATGCATTTGTTCGAGAACTTCTTTTTTCGAAGAAATTGTTCGGTTGAAAGATTTTTATTGGTCAAATTTTTTGCTACAGATATCGAGTAACTGCCAAAGGAATTTCAGCAGAAGGAGAAATCATGATCCGTATTTATCCGCCCGCGTATTGGGATCTATTGCAAATCAGACGAAATAAAACACTCTACGTGGAAGAATCAACTAGTGTGATGATTTCGCGTGACATTTTAGAGGTAGGTGTTAATCATTTTTTCCAAATTAGATCCAATTTCCTTTCTCAATATTTTTCATTCAAAGTAATTTCCAAATCGTTTCCATCGTCTTTTTTGACAAATGAAATTCTTCCTATGCTTTAACTTAAAAATCCAATTGAATCAATACCTAACAATTATTTTCACCAAATCTATATTGTTTTTGCTATAGATTGTGCATCCGAATATATCGCCGGGTGATATAACGTATTTAGTAACCACCTCTCCGCAACATGGTTATTTAGAAATCCAATCCATAACATCTGACGATGAATACAATTGCAAAGTTTTCGATCAATCAACGATCAACTCGGAGAAAATGTTTTATATTCAAGCTGGTGTCAATCAATCAGTGGACCATTTCATATTCGATGTAACCAATGGAATCACTTGGTTGCGAGGGCTAATGCTGAAAATTGTTATTATTCCAGAGAATTTGTACATTCAAACTCGGAATGTGTCAGTTGAAGAAGGTAGTTTCATTCTTAGTTTACAGTGGTGTAAGCTGATAAAGTCAGTACTGATCAAAGAAAAACGCTTCAATTTTCCAGGCAAAGCGCTAAAACTGGAGCCAATGGACATGGTACCGTATTCGGATTACTACCGTGGCAAAATCCTTGAATATCGTGTTCTTCAGCAGCCGTCATTTGGTGACATAAAATCGGAAACGTCGAAGGTCAATCGATTCACACATAAGCAGCTGGAATTGGGCACCATTTATTACGTTCACGACGGAAGCGAAAATGCAACAGATGTTATTCGTTTGGTGGCGGTTGCGAGAAACAAGGAAAGTGTACCGTTTGACTTTTACATCACAATTATCCAAGTGAACGATGAAAAACCGCAAGTCATTACGAACACTGGTCTGCAGATGTGGGTGGGCGGACGGTCACCAATTAAAAATGCGGATTTGAGTGAGTTTTTACTGAATTGTTTATTAAAATCGTTTTCAAAAAAGTGCATAACTAAATGAAATTCTCGTTCAATTTCAGTGGCACAAGATTATGATACACCATCTGATCGCATCCGATTCATGGTGCTGAACGTTGTCGGTGGTATTGTGGTGCATCAGGATGATGTCTTTAGTATACCACTGACGAATTTTACACAGTACGAAATCAACGAGAACCAAATCTACTTCCAACACACATCAAACAAATTGAATGGTCAAATGGATTTTTTTGTAACTGATGGAGATCATAGCAGTCCAGACCAAACTCTGTTCGTCACCACGAATCCAGTTAACTTGGAGCAAATCCACAATGAAGTGTTGCACGTTTTCCCGTTGACACGAAAACAAATTATGCCAGATCAACTGAAGTTCAAATGTTCAGATGAGCTTCGTGATGTCGTATACGAAATAACAATCAACCCACAATTTGGTCGAATTGTCTACGAGCATTCAGACAATGGCAGTTCACAGGAAGTGACTGAGTTTACACAGCATGATATAAATGAAGGACGAATCGTGTATGAACACACGCATCCAACTGTTGAGCTCAAGTCGAATGACTCATTTTATTTTGACGTAAAATCCAAACTGGCAAATAGTTTAATCGATCAAATATTTAACATCGAAATTTCGGTTTCATCGGGTGGTTTAGTTCGGTTTTTGCCGGTGAACCGTTTGAATTTGGATGAAGGTGAAAAGGCACCAATCAAGTTGGACTTGTCGAAAATAGTGGAATATTTAACATCCCGGGCGGGTATTCAAGCGCCTGAGTTGTACATTGATATTTATCAACCGGCTCACGGTATCATCGCACCAATAAATGGCTCACGCAATTTGACCAGAGCATCACTGGATGACTTTATTTCGGAGAAAGTTTACTACCTACATGATCATTCAGACACGGTTGAGGATAAGATTCGGCTATCGGTTTATCTGCAACAAGGGAATATATTCCTTTGCAATCTAACAATTCCGGTCATCATAAATCCAATTAACGATCATGAATTCTTTTTGGTTACTCAATCGCCACAAATGACAATAATTGAAGGTGAAAACCGCACGATAACCAAGAAAGAGCTATTCACAGAGGATGCTGACACGGGTCCAGTTGATATTATCTACGGTAATACGATGATCAGAAATAGATAGATAGATATCATTAAAATTAAAAAAAAAAATTAGAAATTTTAATGAATTTTTTTTAATGAATTACAACATTATTATATTTTTATATAATAGATATCATTAGCGGACCAACAATTGGCATTTTGATGAAAATTTCCGACGAAGGAACCGCTCAAGACATCATGACCTATGGCAATCGATTCTCACAGTTGGACATCAATGAAAATCGAATTTTGTACGTGCATAACCATTTGCCACAGCCAACAACATTCTACTTTAAAGTTTCAGATGGGAAATTCACACCAGCATTTGAGATTTTTAACTTGAAGGTGATTCCAGTGACTGTTGATCCAGGGAATGACAGAGACTTAGTTTATATGCAACAAGGTGCTAACACAACTCACATTCGTGAAACCCATTTCGCTGTGGATACAAACGCTGATCGCAGCCGATTGATGTACAACGTCACCGATGCACCAAAAAACGGAGTGTTGCTGTGTGAAAACCGACAAACAAGCAAATTCACGTACAACCAATTGGTTAATAAGAAAATCGTGTATTTTCAAACTGATATGTCGAAGTCGAACGATAATTTTAAGGTAAATTCTCATTAAAGTCAGCGTTTTTTACCCATTTTCCACTAAGCTATTGAAAAATTCAACATTTTATATGGAAAATTGAACGCTCGGCAGAAAATGGTTTGAGGAAAAATGTACACCTTTCGAATATTTGAAGAAATATTTGAAAATATTTACATAATTTAAAAAAAATGTGACAAAATTTCGTTTTTAATTAATTCTAATTCCAGGTGACGGTTTATGTACCAGACACCAGCCAAGGAATGTTGGAAAATGTTGAGGTTAAAATCATTGTCGAACCATTAATCAAGCTCAATGGAATATCAATTGCATCGGAAGATAAAATCCGTTTAACCACTTCATTTATGGACGAGAATCCGTATCAAATGAAATTGAATCGATATAACCCAAAGATAGTCATCACTCGTAAGCCAGATCATGGAAAAATTAAGAAAATCATTCGGAACACGGGTGATTTAGAGCATTCTAATGACAAAGACATCTCATCGTTCACGTATAAAGAGCTGAAAAGTGGTGTCATTTACTTTATCGCCCGGAAACTTCCAGAGGATTTAGTTTCAGTCAATGATTACTTCGAGTATGCGCTATTTATAAAACCGTATCAGCCGGGACAGGCATTTGTTTCCATCGAAATACACAAGTTGAAATCGCAATTGGTCGAAAATGGTGACAAAAATGATAATGTGAACGTTACATACGAAGCATCTTGGCCGATAAATTACCTATTTATTGTAGCCACGTTGGCTGCTATGTTTGTCCTCGTGATGGTACTGATCATATTTTTGAGATGTCATTCGAATGCTAAAGCAAATAAGAACAATATGGACAAGGACTATCCGCCACCATTGCCACGGCCACCAGATTTCATGAACATCAATAATAATCGCATGTATTCACCATCAGATGGAGAGGATTCGGTAACGACTTCACTGCCTGTACTTAGCAGCATACCACATTGCAAGGTGATTCCGATAAATAGTGTGGATGATTCAGAATCGGATGAAATGATCGATCTGAATAACGTCAGCGCATCACAACAGCTTCATCAACTACCGTGCTATTCGCCCTATGGAGACGAACCGGATGAGTGGAGCTCATCGTGTGATGTGGCCAACGAAGTCAATTACTCATCCATTCTTCAACCAACTTTGCAACGGCAACAAAATACCAATCCACTGCTCAGGCGGAATCAGTATTGGGTTTAGGGTGGGATTTCTTTCTAGGATTAGAATAACTTAATTTCACTGTCTTATGTAATTTAATTTGACTAAGCGCAATTCACTTGAATCATTTACGCCATTAAGGATTCATTGCCCACATTTTGATTTGTTGTCTAGTTTTTTTTTCATAAATCAGATTCATTTAGAATTTCATTGATGATGGGAAACTAAATTTTAAGGTTGATTTAAGATTGTAGGCAATGAATTTGATATTTATTAATGTAATTGCAATGAAGTAATAAAATATCGCAATTTAATACGAATATTGGGGCAGAAAAATCGCACTTTTTCGATTGAATAATTTAGAAAAAATTCAAGCAAAATAATAAGACTAAAGAAATAGAAATAGAATTCTTTCGCTAGATCTAAGGTTAATCGTTTTTCTCGATTGAATTATAAATATAAATAGTGCGACAAGCGAATTCTCCAGTGTTTATGTGTCAATTGAATACTTTAAATTTTAAAAGAGTCCGATCTGTAGTTGCTATTTATACATCTAAATTCAGCTGAAAATGTCACCAATTCGAAATAAAGAAGTGATTTCAAAATCAAAAAAACAGTTTGGAAATGGATAACTTGTTTTGTTTTTATGTGTTTTGAAACTGAACAAATACAAGCTGAAGAAGAAAAACCTATTAATGAAACCTCTTGAAACTCTAACTTCCAGATTTTAACACGCTCCTAAACATTATAACATGCTCGATAACACGAGTCGTCTCTATGTAGTTTTTAATCCTTTTTATTAATGAAGTTTAAGCACTTTTGTTTTTTTTTACATAACGCTTCGCGAATGCATGTAAAAAGTAAAAGAAACAAAATTCAAACCGAATATAGAAACTAACCGGAAGTAAGAAGAGATAAAATGTATATATCATACATATAATTATGTCAAATGGATTTAGAGGTTTTATCGCAATTATTCGTCTACAGTTCATTAAAGTTTTTGTCATTTTCATTTATATTTTCAAGTTGTTTTATTCCATCGAATTTGAAAATATTATACCGCGATTTACTAGTCAATAATGATCAAAATCTGACGTATAGTCCCACTGCATTTCTATTTTTCCGATCGAAAAATAATTATTTTCCCGGCAAAATTCGACTTTTGTCACATTTTGATTCTTATAAAACCAACAAAGCACTATTAGTTGGACTATTATTCATCAACAATTCCTCTTCAAATCATATCCAATTCAATGTGCGAAAATTAAAAAAAAAACGATCATTCCGTTGGACATGAATTGACAAAAACTCCTTATCGTTTAAGTTTCATTAATGTAGAATTCTTTTTTATGTTTGTATTTGTACTGTGCTTTCATTAAAATCCAATAAATTGTTCAAAATAAATGCTACACATATTTTCTTTGAGAATAAAAATGTTCCAGGTTTTTAGATGAAAATATTTGCATGAGACTTACACTTTGAGTATTGGTAAGGTGTGTGAGTATTAATTGATTTTGACTTCATTCATGAAAGTAACCTTCATATATTTTAAAGATGTAAAAGTCAAACTGTAGCTATGTAAGTATCTTTATATCGAATTTAGACGATTTCTTGAATAAAAAAGCGAAAGCTGAAGAAATTAACAGCAAAATTTTGTTGTCTATTGACAGAAATGAAATGAGCAAAACAATCTCATCATCTGATCATTTTCTCTGTGTGAAAAAACCTGTTGATTCATTCAATTGTGAAACCTGTCAACGTCAGTGAATTATCTGTGTTGAAGCTTCCGTTGGAAGTTTCAACATTCAACTTGTTTTATTTGAAGATAAAAAAAATACATAAAAAATGAGCAGCAAATATCGTTTGAATATTGAACGAAGTAAAACCAATCTAAATATCAAAAAACGAATTTGAAATTAAAAATTTCTCCTAACAACTCAATGAAACTTTTCAGAAACGAATTGCGCAAAAAAGGCATCACAACCGAAATGAACGTTAGTGTTGCAAGCGTCGATAATGAAGAAAAAAAACTTGGTGAGAGCTGTCAACACACTCACGCACACACAGACACGCCTGAGTATTGTTGCACATACAGTCAAAATCAAAACAATGTATCGTATAAGGCGAAATTGTTTCGTTCATTCGTTTCTTATGCCTAGTGCCATGGGCCGTGCGGTTGTCTCTGTTTAGTTGTCGTTTAAAATTCATTATACATGAAAGTGTGTGAACGACGCTGAGCACCTTAGCTCGTCTCAAATGACAAATAAGACATCGACGAAAATAAGACGATAAAAAAAACATAGTGTAATATACTCAAGTCAAAGTGGATGCAAATAAATGTTCTTTATCAAATTGTTGAAGTGTTTCTCTTGATATATACATATATTTTATGGTGGAAGCATCGAGTATAGTTTTTGTGTACTCAAAACGGCCGTGCCCTGAAGATGAACGATTCATTGTTTGAAAAGTGAATGTTCTAAGATAGGAAAAAATCTTTGAGAAAAAAAATTCGTTTCGATAAAAAGAAAATCGATTATTGGATTTGCTGTGGATTATTTTTTGGATATATTTTGGCAACAGATACACAACCAAGAGATTGGATAAAAATGACTGAATTGAACGAAGCAACCTTTCCGAAAACGGGACGAGTTAATGAAGGTTAGTGGAACAAACAATCAAACAATTCGTTAGACTTCGCACCCATTGAATAGAATCAATGAATAGAAAAACAACGAATAGGCGCATTACTCATTCCGTTTAGTGCGTATTTATTAACTGTGAACCTTTATTTTTCAACGTCATTCGTTCATAAAGTCAATATGATTTCTTTTCATTTTGATTGTGTTCAGTATCGTATGAGTACAGAGAGTGTGGCATTTGAAACTCAAACCGGATTGTGATTTACATATATGCGTTGTTTACGAATTCTCTAAGAAAATGAAAGGTAAAAGAAATCAACAGACGAAAAAATACAAACAACAAAGATGTCGAACTAACCACAAGCAAGTCCGTTGAACTGTGAAATCCCTTTTCGGCAAAACAATTTCGGAATTTACGTGCTACAGCTATATATAGTTGTATCGAAATGTGTGTGATTGTGTTGTAAGCCAAATTGCTTCATCCATTGCAATTTGTGATTAGACAATCGATGTTCGGTCGAAATGAATGAATCCCACAGCAGCAACAACAACAAGAGAAAAAATTTACTGTAATTTCAATCTATATGATGCATTCGTTCCCAGATAAAGCTGATGGTTGATGTGAAGAAGCACGCCCAATTATGATCCAAATGAGAAAAAAATTCCCACAAGATTCAGCTGCGCAATAAAGCATATTGCAATTTTTTCTACCCAAACAAACGAAACTCATATATGATTCATTTGAATACAAGTGGAATTTTCTCTTTTTTCCACTGAAAAAAGAAAGATGGAAATTCACCGATAAATAATTATGTTACAATGTCATTAGTTACGAATGGCTATCGCGCGAGAAAGGCTGGAACTGGTGGCGAAATCGAATTAGTGACACCGAGCAAAAATTGAGCGGTCGCTCCGTTTTGCGGCCACAATTAATTGAAAAACCACTTTCAGCATCAGCAACTTTCATTTTTTTTTCTTTTATTCGCCCGTTAATGACACCACATCAACATCACCATCCAATGTTGTTTATTTAGTTCAGTGAATACAATGTCATTATATTTGCACCATAAGCATCACTTTCGAAGAAATGTTTACTCTTTTTTTTGAGTGGTGATTTTTTCAATGCCTTTTGTCTGATATGGTTATACAAACGCTGTTTTTTTTGTTGTTGTTTGAAAGATTCTCCAAAAAGGCGATTAGTGCATTTCTTTTCATTCGATGATTGAATACGTTTTGAATTATGTGATGTGTGTCGAATAGAGTCATTTCACTTGATAGTCGCTTATTTGCTTTCGCTTTTCCACCGACTTACATTCGACGATGTCAGACCGTTTTGTAGCGATGCCAAATGCCACGAAAAAAAAACGAAAATTACGTGTAATTTTTTCGTATACGAATGAAATTGCACTGCACTGGCAGCAAAATGGTGCGTGTACACTTGTTCGACCACTATTTATACCGAATATGCGATGCATGTGCTGTTATTTGGATCTCTCTCGCACTCGCTCTTTATTTCTCGACATACTTTGGATTGCACGCTCGTTGCAATGGCATTAAATCACAATGGAATTCGTGTTGTGTGCACTGTGTGCATTGTGTGCAATGTGCATATATAAAAAAAGAATACGAAACACAGTGACTCAGTCATACAACGACTCATGCACACCACACCGACACAGAACGGATCACAATGACACACACGGTTGTTGTGCTGTTTTTTTTCCTCTTGTTCAAAATTCATTATGATCTCTTGCAAATTTGCTCTTTGATGGGATTATTTCAGGCAGAAAATCTGGCTTTGACAGACTACACAGCGTTTGTTCGCCTGCTACATGCATTAATATCTCATTTCCATTTGCATTCTATCAAATTAGCATTTGCGAAATGCTCTACTTGGAATCCACACAAAAAAACACAAACGTATAAATATTAAAATCGCGCTTTCATCACAAGCCGTTTATTCATTTTTGTGTACGTATATCAATGTTGGCTATACTTGATTTATACTAAAAAAAAATATACAAAAAACAAAAGTAGACATTATGCAGCTTGCTACGATGATGGAGTTTATTTTCATTTCATTTTGTGTGTGCGCGGTGCGCGCACTCTCGTCAAGTAATTTCTCGAAAACAATTCGAACGGGGCACAGTGCACTGCATACGACTTAAATATAGTCAGTTTTTATTGTTGTTGTTCGCTTCTGTTAAATGCATTTAGACTTGATGCAGCGACAGCACAACACAGCAGTAACGACATTTCATTGTAAACCTATTTCGTTTCCTTGTTTCTAGCTGTTTGGCTCTACGATGGCTATGACGACGCATCACAGTAAACTGTGTGTAGTAATTCTTTCCATGAAGAACATGGAAAAGAAAACGAAATTGAATGCATTTAATACCGTGTATGTACACGGTCAATGGAACTAAAGCGAACACCGTAATCACGCTATTATAGATGGGTTTTTTTGTGCGAGAAATACTGAGCCACACATTCATACATAAATGTTGTTTACAATCATTTTTTTTTTGTTCGTCGGAATTTTATTAAATTTTATGCGCTCTTGATTTTGGACATTTGTTTTGTTCCACCCAAATGTCGTGGGAATAATGCAAACAATCAACATTGGTGCTATGCAAACCAATGTAGAAGACGTTGCGCAGAAGACATGCCGATACTAAACGGAAAAATTCATGAAAATAACCGAGTCGTTTCCGGCGCTTGTTTTGGATGACGCTGTTTCCGTCGCACTCGTAGCCATTCCTTGTATTCACGGAATTCCATTTGAAGCGAAAAAGAAACAAGCGGAAAAAAACTCACTATTTGTCTTATATTTTCTTCATCGATTTCGCTGATCCATCCAACAAATGAATTCGAAAAACAATCACGTGAATGTTTTTATTCCTTTTGACTTTTTATTTTTGATTTTTTCTTTCATTTATTTCGTTTCCATTTGCAATCAAGTTCAATGATAATAAATCGTTCGCGAAAGAAACCAGTTTTTAGCCCTTCGCAAATATTTTTACCTTGAATTAAATTAAATGCGCTTTTTTTTATTCACATTGTTTCGATTTTTTTTCTCTCTTTGCAGTGTGTCGAGAATGGGTCGTACGCGAAGACAACGCTTTGGCACAACAATTGCAGTCACAAGAAAGTAAGTTCTCTTTGTTGTTGTTGTTGTTGTTGTTTTCGTATTGAAAATTATTTTACTCATCTCACATAATTCCTTTTCTCTTTTTCCACTTTGTAGTCCACGATCACTATCGCGGCAATCGCTATCGAAATCAAGTGGTTCGACAAGATTTCCCAACCGCTTTATCGGAGCAAATAAAAGAAAAAGAAGTGGCCGATCAACAAGCGGCACTTTATCATCAAATGTTAAATGCACAGGCTGAAGCTGATGCAGCTGTTGCTCGAAAAGTGGCTGAAAATTTGCGTCGAGAACAAGAAATTGAACGACGCCGGAATATTGAACAAAGTGAATATTTGGCGCGTCAACTCGAAGAAGATTTGGTACTTCAAGCCAAACCACCATCTGCATCATCATCTTCGTCGTCGTCGTCGTCATCACGTATGCAGCAATCATTTCCAAGTCCACCCGAGCCAATCGTCAATGAGCTGCCGATTCCGCCAAAAAAATTGGGTACTAAATTCAGTAGCCAGCGAAGGAATTACAATGACAACGATATAGTTACGAATCCATCGTACGTCACTGCTTCACCGACACATACAGCGACACCGCTAAGGGATTCACCGCAGCTAAATTACGTTTCGTTGGAGTTGAACATACCGAAAGATAGTCAAAAACGCTTGGCAAACCATCATGCAACACAATACACTCAAGTCTTTGCCCATAATCTGGGCACACCTCCGTTGTCACCATCTGATTCGGATAGTCATCATTATGAGCATATCAATTTGCATTCGCACACTCCCGAAAAGAAAACCAATCCACAGCCATACGTTCAACGAGATTATAGTTTTCCACCGCCACCAGACTCAGTTGCTTTGGCTCTGCCACCAAAACTGCCGAGCAAACAATCACCGACGAAAAATAAGCAATATGATCTGCCAAAACTACCACCCAAAGCAAAAGATTTGTCGCCAACCAATCGTGGATTGCAAATGCTCACCACAGACTCATTCGATATACTAATGGGCAATCCAAATCTACGCGAATTACCCGATGAATGTGACAGTTTAGCTATTGGCGGTGCAGAACCGAAGGTTGCACGAAACACAGAGCGTGTTTTTAATAGTAATACACCAAATATCAATCGGATCGACTCAGTTGACGATATTTTGAGCTATGACGGAGAAGAAGCTGCGGGTTCAGCTTGTAGCTCGGATCGGATAAGGCAGCTAAAAGAGTTGGGCGTTCCAGCTGATGAAATTTTGGAAATCGATCGACGTCTCACACAACAGGAGAAAGATGAAGAGCTTGCTCGTCGATTGCAAGAGGAAGAAGGACAGGCTTGTATGACACAAGAGGAAAAAGATCATATGGTGGCCATCGAAGCACAAGATAAAGAATTGGCTCGGATGCTACAGGAGAGGGTAAGTTGAATGGTTTAGGGTTTTCGTGACGATTGGGGATATTAATGATCATCTACCCTTATTTTTGTAACCAAAATTCTCATTTTCAGGAAAAAGCAAAGGCTCGCCGGGCAAAGGAGCGTGCTCGAGCTCGGAAGCAGCAACTACAGCAGGAGAAAATGCAACAAGAAGCAGCTGAAGGTGCACAATATGTCGAGAATTCATCGGCTGTATCACACACCCGAAGTCATTCCGATTCAAATGACATTGAACATGATTCATACTCGGATCCAATCGACTTGATAAATGCCCGGGAAAATGCCAAGCAATTGTATCAGGCTGGTGAATATTTTCATAGCAAACAAAGCAGCGGTGCATCACGAGATTCACTGTTCAATGATGAAAATTACTCCAATCCAGTTGATTCACTTCGAAATGCCGCATTAAACGATTCCAATCACAATGCATCACCTCCAAGACCTAGCAAAAAAGTTTCCAGCAAACAACCGAGGTGAGTCATCCATTCTATTGAATTATTGTGTATTGGCTAATGTTATTTTATCTTCCAGACCAAAATCGAATGAAAGTATCGATAATATGGAACAGATACAACAGCCAAACTCATCGTCTTCCGGACCGAATAGCTCTATTCCAACCCCATCAAATGAATCTCAAAACTTTTTACCGGCTCATTTGAAATACACGACACCCGATCAAAATTCGAATCCAATTCCACCATACATGCCAATCCAAGGCGTTCGACGCAACGGAAATATGCAGTCGGATAAAAAGAAAAAACCGAAAGACAATCGCTGCACACACCAATAAGCATTCTAATTGAAAACCTATTTAAAAATGATGTTAAATGTGAAAAACCTTTAAGATATGCATGACCTTATCCCGGACACTCAGTTAAAGTGTCCAATTTTAGTGGAATTTATTAAACTCTAGCACAATGGTTGACGTATAAAAATCATAAATACCCATAAAATTTTGAAGTATTTCCTCTTGATTAGCGAATAGTTTTTAAATTTATTTTAATTTTCTTTGTGAATAAGTTTGGGATAATTCATGGATAATTTGATAGACAATGAAAATAAATCACAAATTTTTTTAAATTTAAAGCGAATTATTCGTTGTTTGCAATTCAAAAACGTAGATTGACAGATGAAATCAAGAGATGGCGTTGATATGGTATTCGATGGTTTGTGTCCAATCTATTCGGATTTGTTTTTCTTCAGTTCTGTCTGACTTAGTTTAAAAAAATTTCAGGTCAACGGACTTTGATTGATGAGCCATGCGAACATTTCGATGAAAAACTAATAGAAACCATTCACACATTTCGACTAGTTCAAGCGATATACTTAAGATTAAGTGTTTGTCAGGTAACAAAAATGCATTTGCACAAAAAACGACGCACTTGAAAATTGATTGCGTGCAAAATAAATGAAAGAAATATAGCGAACGATGTGCACACGTAGATTTTTTTCAGTTCTGTCGTCAGTTATCGCTTGTGGTGTAGTGAGTAGACGCATATGATGCCCACGTCCATGTGTATTCGTGGTGGGTTGAAACATTGATTATACGATATATATACGACATTGTAAATTTACATTGTGCGCGCGGATGAAAGTCCATTCACATCAGAAAAATACAAACAAACTCACTTACCTACACCGATGCAAATGCAAAAAGGCTCAAAAAATGAACCAATGCCCGAGTCGGGTTCGTACGCGTTCCGACTGAAATATAATAAATCGACAGAAGGAGATGGATTGAGAGTGAGTGAGTGAGTGAGTGTGATGGAAAGGAACGGAACGGAGCAGGGCAACAAAAATTGTGCTGCTGCGGTCGAAATGCGCTGCACGGAACGCAATGAATATAATAATTACCTAAATGCACATAACAATATTGTATAGATATAAAAAAAATGATAATGTATGAGATCTTTCTCTGTGTCTTTGGCTGGTTGCGCGCATAAAAAACACAGCTCGCAGACACGGCATGCATATGTACTTAACGAAGTGGTGTGCTTGTTGCTATTGCTGCTACTGCTGCTGCTTGCACAAATTGAATCGAAATACGCATATATGTGTATGCACAAGCCGCTTTCTCTCTCGCAAAATTTTTGACATTTTCTTTGCTCGACTCGCGCTGCAATCGTCTGTTTCATATGATTTTCGGTGGCATTCTGTTCCATTCGGTCGTTTCACTCCTTTCAACATCGTCGTCGTCGTCATCATTGTCTAACGCATACATATTCGTGTTGAAAATTACATTGCAGTATGAAATTTTAACAGCATTTACGATACGTATAAGGTTAACTGAATTCACTTATATAGAAATTGTCCGTTTTATTCTCTTTCTTCTCCGCTTTTGAAAGCGTTGCTTCCAGTTTGATGCGTTGCTGGCAACGGATCGTTGTTTTGCCTTTCAGTGTGTGTGTGTGTGTGCAAGCGAATCGTTTTGAAAATTTCGTTGCACTTTATTTTGCACGGCATTGGCGGCGGCACAAGCTGTTGTACATGTGTGTATATGTGTGCACAATTCATCCGAGGCAGAGAGAGAGAGTTGCATTTGGGTGTTTCGAATGTTGTGGTGTGATATCGCCTCGCAATAAACATCAGCCGTAAAAAAGTCGAGCAGTAGCTATGGTTTTCGAAAATTACGATATGCGATTAGTTCTCTGTGAGCTGTGTTGTGCCCAAGTCATACACATATCCTCGTCTCTCGCATGGATTCATGTGAACCAGTCAAATCGAAGTCAGTTTGTTTTGTTGTTGTTGCTTTAAAGGTTGGTGGTACAGAGTTGAACGAACGCACCGAATTTCTCACCCATTCCCGAAATTCGTTGTCCTCGTGTAAAACATTGTCCAACATTTTTTTTTCTCTGTTGCTGCTGCTGCTTCTGCTTTTCGTTCATTGTGTAGTCGTGCGTTTTTTTTCTGTTTTGTTGAATTTTTTTTTCATTTTTTCAATTAAGTTAAAACCTGGAGCGGCCGTTGTTCTTTTGCATTTGCAAAGAACGGAATGCATTTTGTAGAGACCATGGTGAAACCAAGTGAAAAAATGTTAATTAAAATGTCAGTGAATTCAATCAGAGTGATAATTAAATGACGCTTTCGTCGCATGAATTATAGTTATTGGCAGAAGTATAGGCAAAGAATGTGGAATCATCCACAAAACCTAGCGCATTGCACCGACTTCTGTGAGTGTGATGTCATACGCGCTTGATGTGATATGATGTGATGTGTGAGAGAGCTGAAAGATTGAAGCTTTTTTTTTATTTTTTTCTGCAAATGCACCCGATGATTCATTAAATGAGCTCACGAGAACAGAACGAGAAAAAGCACTTACCAAATCACACATTGCAGCGATAATTAGAAACGCATATTTTTCTTTCTCTAGGTCAATCGATTGGGCGGTTCAGTTCAAAATACAATGAACGCAAAATGATGAACAAAAGCCAACAAAAAAAAGAGACGATTTTATGTAATAAAACCAAGACGAATGAATGCAATTCATTTATAAGTGCAAAAAGGAAGCTTAGACGAAATGGAAAAAAAACAACAACAACAAGAACAATCACCAAAAGCAAGTGATGTGTGTGCATTTTTTGCTCTTTATCGAACACACACGAAATTACGAGCCACACGACAGAGATGGAGCGAAAAAAGAGCCAAGAAAATCCGCGTATGTTTGGAAATTATTGATCATGCGCAATTCAATTAATATTTTTGTCGTTTCGAAGCCATTCAAAAAAAAAGAATTCTAATTTCTACTTAGTTTTCGTTGGTGTGCTCGTGTGTGGGTTTTTCACTGTTTCTCACTCACTCACTCGCTCGTTCGGCGTTCCACATTTCTGCTATTGTTGGCTTACAAAACTGCACGAACGCTCCACAATTGCAATTGTATTGTGCATGACATGCACACCGAAAACTGCATTTGTGTGTTACGATACGCGATACGCGATACAAATTTCATTTTACAACGGCTTGGTGTAAGTTCATCGCATTGCTTCGATATATGGAACTATTGAGTGAATGAGTGAGAGAGAGATAGAGTTTTTTCCCAACTATTCCTTCGATTGGTTGGATTTTCTCGAAAGTACTCGTATAACCATAATGAGTTTCCAAATGATGAATAATCACTCAAAATTCTCAATCAAACGTGCGAACTATATTTATTTGAATGATATTTGAATGTCAATGACGACGTATGTTCGAAATACCATGAATAAAATCCGTAAATATTCGTATTTTTAAAATTATGACAATTTCACCATTTCGACCTTTATTGCAGCTGCTATTATTGCTAGTAGAGAATCTTAAAAATATTTAAACATTTGATTTTGATATGATTTTTCATTCGAAATTCCCTGAATCATTGAGAATTGGTGTCGCTAAAATGTTCGATCGAATGGAATTCCAGGCGAAATGAAAGTTATGAAGTCATTACAACGACGCGTGCATATCGTTGCCATATAATTTATTGCGTTCGTTGTTGCATCAAAGAAAGTTGCATTCCAATTGTTTTTCGCTTGATTCCAATTTCTCGGCACGGCCTTTCTCTTTCACAAAAGTAGCTCATTTCGCATTGTGAGCTCTCCCACTTGGCTGGAGTGATGAAAATGCAATTTTTTCTCCTTCTGTCCGTTTAGACACGCCAATTAAATTTCGATCAGTTAACTTTCCAGCTGTGTAAAGTAGCATTTCCAAGTAAAATGCATTTACCTTAAAGCTCTCTCTCTCAACATATATAGTTAAAACATGTGGATTCAAATGTGTTTCGGTGGAAATATTTAAATAATAAATATCTTGAAAAAATCATACGCATAAATATATCAAATTATGGTGGGGGGGAGGGCAAAAATAGGTTGAATATTATATCACAGCAAATTTTAACGAATGAATGACGTATTTTCGTTCTACGTCAAATGGATTTCGATTGAAATTGAACGCGCACCAACGTTCATAATTCAACATTGGCGATTGAGCGACGTAAGGACTAAGCTTACAATTGGCTTTCGTCGTTGCCGTCGATTTTCTTGGCAGGAGACTTATCAAAATCGCTGCAACTGCATGCTTCGCCTAATTTTCATTTGACAAATGAGGCAAAAAAGAAGAAGAAGAAAATCCTTGCGTGATTCAGGTTCAGTGGAAGGCGGAAAAGTCAGTAATTTGCATACTATGGTGTAAACAAAAAAAAGGCTTATTTACCTACTAGTAAAAGAAGCACATGTTTTAAATTACGACACGCTGAGAGTAGTAAGTAAACAGTTTGAATTGGCCAAATGACTGTGTGTGAGTGTGCACTGTGCAATGGATTCCGAAAATAAAGCCAAATAAACGAAGGAAAAAAAAACGAAAAATATCGAGAGAAAAAAAAAATGTGTGGCAAGCAAACGGAGCAAACATGCGAGCAAAATTAACGAAACGAATGCAGAGAGCACACTATGCAGTGACGCCATTTTGAAATAATTGTGCAATTTTGTTGCTGGTGCATCTTGGTTTTCCCATTCTCGCATACACAAATTTTCGTAGCACACGAAGAGCACTGGCAAAATTTTTGGTGTGCAATTTTGCCCACAAAACCAAATACACACACGAAGATACACGCATGCACCCGACAAAGGTCTTTCACTGCGTTGCATCGCTTCAGTTCAGTATCACAATTTTCGGTAGATCTTGGCTGAGCTGCTGCAACAGCAGCAAAACCATCATTAGTAGTAGTAGTAGTAGTAGTTTTGGACGTTTTTTTTCTTCTCTGCCTAACGCCTTGTTCGTTCGGTGTGTTTCCATTTGAACTGTTACAAGATGTTGTGGCGTTGCTTTCTATTTCGTCGTAATGGTGATTGTAAAATCGATCTCCTCATCAAATGCGCTTCTCACATCGATACACTAGCCGCACTTGGTGTGCAATTGTTAATCGCTCGGCATTTCTACGTCTTCGAATCAATTTACAAGATATGCCATGGAAATTTTTTCACTTTATGATGAAGCACGCTAGTGCATTTTTCTCTACTCGCTTGCAATTGCTTATTGTAAATTTCCCGCAGAAACGGCCAATAAATGGAATTGCAATGTGTAATTGTAGCGATAGAAAGAGAGATCGGGCGAGCGAGAGAGG